CAGGGGGATGAGAGAGAGGGGGCGGGTGGAGGGGGGCCGGCGGGGGGAGGGGGGGATGTGGTTGGGGGGGTAGGCAGGGCACTCCTCACTGTCTTCATCTTCACACCAGCTGCACTGCATCTCATATTCCTGCTCTAGGGTCAGCAGCTCTGAGGCTGTCAGGTGCCGAAGTTCCTCTGATTTCATCCACTCATGGTACCTGCAGATTGGGGTTGGGGCAGCAAAGACTTGGTGTTAGGTGAGTGGTACTGTTTCTGCAGGGTGGGTTTCAATGGGTGTGGAGGGACAAGCCTGGATGCCCAGTACCTGGGAGGAGGAGGCAGGAGGATCAGGAATTGGAGGCCAGCCTGGGTTACAGGAGACCCTCTCTGGAGAGGATGAGGGCTCGAGTTTTGTCTGAGGAAAAAAACCAGTGTCAGTCTATCAGCACCACAGTTCCAAATAGTGATGAAGTGTAAGGTACAAACAAACAAAAGACCCAACACAAAGTATGGGTTTGTGCCTTCTGAAATGAGGTGGAAGGCAGGGATGCAGGCCCCACAGCACTGACAGAAGACTCAAGGAGAAGGATGTGGTCAGTCAGAAAAGGCTTTCCCCAAACAGCAGCAGCAGAGAGAGGCAGCCTCATGTGCCCAGATTCCCTCCCAGCCAGTGTGAAGCCAAACATTCCTCCAATTCCTGAGGATAAGCATATGCCAAGCCTACCTCAGCAAAGAGGATTGGGCAGACCTCCACAAGGCAGGGTGCCAGGGACCTCTCCAAAGCAAAACTATTGGTAGAGGATCCCCCCCACACACACACACACATACATGCACACACTCACACACATACATTCTCTATGCAGCCGGTTTCTCAATTTACCAGGCATTTGCTAATGAACCCCACAGAGCGTCTGCAACTCACTTCTGGCCTTTTAAACAGTAGGCCTCAAAACAATGTGACATTCAACATCTGGGACAAGCACATGACACCAGGAAATGCCATCAGTCACTTAGAACCAGGGAAGAAGACACCTCTTTGTTCTTTGCTACACACATCTAGATGAGGTAATTCCTAACTGAAAAGCCAAAAAGGAAGCTGAGGGGTGAAAACGAAAAAAATGGGGAGGTGAGTTCTCCACTTCAGCATTCTTCTTGTATGTAACTTTTTCCCCCTTTGAGATAGGGTCTAACTATGAAGCCCTGGTTGGTCTGGAACTTACTATGTCGACCAGGCTGGCCTCAGTCTCACAGATCCACCTGCCTCTGCCTCTTTGGGTGTTGTGCTGGGATCAAAGGCGTGCAACGCCGCACAAGTAATAAACAAAACCGACTCTGAGATTAGAAGGGAGAAAGGCCTTTTCACTGCGTCAACTGCCAACAGCCCCAGCCCCACCCACGCACCTACAACTGCTCGCAGCCAGGGAACAGTTACCTAGGCACATGCTCGGAGGTGTAGGGTACTAGGGCCACCTTCTTGCCCAGCAGCACGGTGTTCTGATTCAGCCTCATTGCAGCTACCTACAAGTGGGAGAGTTAGAGACTTCTGAGCCCCAAGTGTTTTACCAGAGGTGGGGCTGTATTAACAAGGGGGCGTTCTGCCTTTTCCTCACAAACACTTGGAAGAACAAAGTTTCTAAAAACTTTTGCCAGAAAAAAGAGCCGAAATGGTCGACAGTTCTCGGTTCTCATCTCAGGGGCTGGCCAAGTATTGGCTGCGGCTTCTATTCCCCAAGAACTTAGATCTGTCAAACCCGAGCGCCGCATAACCAGGATTCACATGCGACGTGCCCCTGTCCGGGGAGTCCACCCCTCTTTAAACCTGATTCCCACCTTCCCTCCAGCGTCCCCGCCACCCGGCTCTGGCCCTCCCCGTTTCTGGTCCCCAAGCCCCACCCCAAGTTTCCAGGCCTCAGCCCTTTGCGTGGCTCGACACTTGTTCCTCGACCCTCTAACAGCCTTGGTCTGCAAACTGCCAAGCTCACACCCATCCCCCGCCGAGCAAGGCGTCCCCAACAACAGGCGTCAGCGCCTCGCCCGGAGAGCCAGGCTTTCCGCATGCGTGTGAGCGCGCACCCGCCACTTCCGCCACGCAGACGGCAGCCGCTGGGCCCAATCCCGGCCACGCCCCCGAGAGGCGACCAATCAGAACCCTGTGGCCCTCCCGACGCGCTCTCTGGGAAGGTGGGTTGCGGAGCATGCGCATGCGTGCAGCCGGCTCTGGTGCGGAACAGCTGGTGCCGGGTGGCAGCCGCGTAACTGGAGGCGGTGGCCGGTGTGGCCAGGAGCCGGCTGTGCTGCAGGTCTGGGACGGTCGGGAGGGTAGCCTACGGTGCACATTGCTGTGAATTTTGGAGTCCCACCAGGAGGGAGGAGAGGGGGAGGCTCAGAGCTGGGCTCTTGAGAAGGGAGGAGGCTTAAGGGTGGGGGACCCTAAGGTAGGGCAGGAGTCAGGTGAGGGAGCCGGGACCCCATCTAAAAGAAGCTTTGGGACAAGGAGTTAGGATGGAGGGGAGACCTAGGAAAACCCTGGCGCTCCCTCTGTGTGGGCGGAGAGCTGCCCTGTACAGTAGCGAGCTCACAGATACTGGAATGAAACTGACATACGCACCTTAGGTTAGAGGGGGCTGTAATGGTGAGTGAGGCTTAGTGGCTTCGGAGGCCCCTCAGTCACTTGGAGTGTGAGCAGCATCCAGGCAGAGGGAAGTGCTTTGCATAGCAAGAGTAAAGTTAGAAGGGGGTGTCCAGGGAGCTTCGTCCCACCAAGGCTGCCCCATGACAGATGCTGAGGCCAAGGTGTCTGAGATAAAAGGGCTAGATGTCAAAGAAGCAGACCGAAAGTCTCCCCATCCCCATCTCTCTCTGTCCATCCGAAAACTAAGCTCTGCTCTTTCATCGTAGGAGCCGCAGCTCGCACGTGCTGGCCCGACACAGAAGCAGCCTCTGCGGCCAACCCTTCTCATTCTGTGGAGATGGCGGGAGAAATCACAGAGACCGGGGAGCTCTATTCTCCTTATGTGAGTTTTCCTCCGTCAGTGTGCTCTGCTCACTGTCATGCCCCTGGTGTCTAGAGAAGCCCACTGTCGTCCCTGGGCCATGCTACTGACTGGCCTGGTTTAAGTAGACCCTCGTGAAAAACAGAGACCAAAACTTCCTAGGCTGAACTCAGGGTTCAGCTGTCTTGGCTCAGACTTTCAATATCCGACTCGAGGTGGTGGCTCATGCTTTTAATCCCAGCACTCGGGAGGCAGAGGCAGGCTGATCTCTGTGAGTTCCAGCCTGGTCTACAGAGCGACTTTCATGACAGGTTTCCAAGCTACAGAGAAACCCTGTCTCTTAAAACAAAAATTCAGGCTCATTCCCCTTTTGTTTCGTCGTTATTTTTAAAAGTTTTTATTTTTAATGACTCCTCTGTGTGTGGATATGTGCATGCCTGCCAAATCCAGAAGAGGGTACCAGATGTCCTGGAGCCTGAGTTACAGGTGGTTGTGAGCTGCCCAGTGTGGGCGCTGGGAATTGAACTCAAAGCCTCTGCAGGAGCAGCTGTTGCTCTTTTTTTATCATCATTTTTTTTTTTAATTTTAAAAGTCTTTTCTCATTTTACATACCAACCCCAGTTTCCACTCCCTCCCACCTCCTGTTCCCCTCCACTCTCCCCTCATCCCATCCCCTATCCACTCCTCAGAGAGGGTAAGGCTTCCCATGGGAGTGAACAAACTCTGGCACAATCACTTTGAGGCAGGACCAAGGTCCTCCCCCTATATCTAGGCTGAGCAAGGTATCCCTGCAAAGAGAATGGGCTCCAAAGAGCCAGTTCAAGCACTAGGGATAAATCCTGGTCCCACTGCAGCAGGTGCTCTTAAATGCTGAGCTGTTTCTCCAGTTCCTCTTTTAGATGCCAACTGGACAGTGTCAAGCCAAACATAACCAACTTGTTAGTCTCCCGTAATACCTATCTCAGGGCTTCTACCGATTACACTCAATTCTGCCATTGCGATGCGCGTCACTGACAGCTGTTGTTTTAGAGTTTTGTCCACCTCAGCAGTCCACAGCCTCTTTTGTCTTTAGCTGAATTTTAAATTTCGCAACTTTTGTGGTCTTGGATGTTGAAAGAGGCGGTGAACTGCAGAGACGTCCAATTGCAGTTTGGTAGAGACTGCAATTACGACAATTAGAGCGATTGATTTCTCCCTGAGTTGAATCTGCGACCTCCTCTCACCCCCACACACTCAGTTTATCTTTTCTCTGTGTAATAGCCAGTTGGTTGTGGTTATTGCAGCACGGGGCCTTAACTGGATATGTAGCTGGAGGTGATCGTGTGAATAACCAGGATTGACTCACACTGCTGCCAGCTATCACCAAAGAAAGTGGCTCTTCTCCATGGAGCCTTCTTTTCTAGAATTTTCCTGGCTTCAACAGCTGCTCTGCTGTTCACACACAACTCTCCCTCCCCCCTTCACTTCTGTAGTTCACCAGGGAAGATCTCTCTCTCTCTCTCTCTCTCTCTCTCTCTCTCTCTCTCTCTCTCTCTCTCTCTCTCATGCTGGAACAGAAGGGACAGTGCAGTCATGTGATACTTGCTAGTCTCCTCTGTCAGCAGTAAGATGTCCTCACTGTCTCTAAAAGTTGACACAGTTCCTGCTTCTTCTTACAATAACTACAAATTGAGAGACAAGGAAATGAGTCATTGCTGTGACTGAGTTTTAGAAGGAGAGCAGTATATCCCCATTTCTTGTGCTTTCACCTGTTCAAGCAATCCTTGACATGTGTTACCATGCGTCTGTAGGAACATGGACAGTTAGGCCTGCATGCCACAGGAGCCCTGCTCTCCAGCTCCTTTTTTTCTCTTGCATTTTATATGTGCTTTATTTTATCCAGGGTCATTGCAGTTGCCAAAAACAAGTGCTGGGATTTGGGTTTTTTTGTTGTTGTTGTTTTGGCTTTTTAAAATCTTAATAGTAAAGAGAGCTGTGGGGAAAAGAGGGGCAGTGGTGGCGATGGGTAGTGTTAGCCAGGAGGTGGTGGTCGTGGTTGTGAGGAAAGCAGCCACCTTCTTCCTATGGGTCTTCGTTTTTCTTTTAAAGATTTATTTTGTGTATGAATATTTGAGCTGTATATATAGATCACATGCATGCATTGCCCACAAAGGCCAGGAGAGGGTATCAGACCCCCCCAATCTGCAGGACTGGAGCTATATCTGGTTTTAAGCCACTGTGTGAGTGCCTTGAATTGAACTAGGGTCCTCTGTGAGAGTAACAAATGCTCTTTATCACTAAGCCATTTCTCCAGCTCCTAAGAGTCTTTTTTTTTTAAGATTTTATTTATTTTATTATGTATACAACATTCTGCTTCCATGTATATCTGCACACCAGAAGAGGGCACCAGATCTCATAATGGATGGTTGTGAGCCACCATGTGGTTGCTGGGAATTGAACTCAGGACCTCTGGAAGAGCAGCCAGTGCTCTTAACCTCTGAGCCATCTCTCCAGCCCCCCCCTTTTTTTTTTTAAAGATTTATTTATTTATTATTATACAGTGCTGCATGTCTGCCTGCACTCTAGAAGGGGGCACCAGATCTCATAATGGATGGTTGTGAGCCGCCATGTGGTTTCTGGGAATTGAACTCAAGGCCTCTTGAAGAGCAGTGCTCTTAACCTCTGAGCCATCTCTACAGGCCCAAGTTTTTTGTTTTTTTTTTTTAAATTAGTCTTTGAGAATTTTGTACAATGTGTTTTAAACATACTGACCTTCTGCTCCAGCTCCATCCCACTTCCCTACCCATTCAACTTTGTGTCCTTTTTAAAAGAAAAGAAAACAAAAATCCATCAAGTTCAGGTTGTGTTACCAATATATTCTGGGACATGTGGCCTCCTACTGGAGTGTGGGTCACTTACCAGGGGCTACTGATTCTCTCAGCAACTTTCAGTTGCCAATGGTTACTTGACTTCCCACCCTCCTTCACTGTGAGTTGGGATTTCATCAGAATTGAGCTTGCACAGGTCTTGTGCATGCTATCAGGACCACTGTGAATTCAGAGCTGTTTCCCTGTAGTCGCCCACAGCCTCTGGCTCTTATATCCCCCCTTCCACATTACCTTAGGGTTTCCTCACTCACCACCCTAGAATAAGGATGATGGTGGTGGTTGTGGTGGTGGTGGTGGTGGTGTGTGTGTGTGAGAGAGAGAGAGTGTGTTGGTTAGTTGGTTTTTGTTTTTAAATTTAATGTTCTGGGGTATTTTGCTTGCATGTATGTCTGTGCACCATGTGCCTGTGCCTGCAGAGGCCAGAAGAGGCCTTGAGATCCCCTAGAACTAGACTTACAGATGGTTGTTAGCTGCCATGTGGGAGCTGGAAATTGAACCTGGACCTCAGAAAGAGCAACCAGTGCTCTTAACCACTAAACCATCTCTGCAGTTGCACACTGTCACCACCCCTGCTGCTGCCGGCTCCCTCCCTCCCTCTCTCTCTCTCTCCTTCCCTCCTTCTTCCCAGTCTCTCCCCCTCTCTCTCTCTCTCTCTCTCTCTCTCTCTCTCTCTCTCTCTCTCTCTCTCTCTCAGTTTTTCAAGACAGGGTTTTTCTATGTAACAGCACTATCTGTCCTGGAACTCACTCTGTAGACCAGGCTGGCCTCAAACTCACAAAGATCCACCTGCCTCTGCCTCTTAGTTCTGGATTAGAGGCGTGTGCAACACAGCCCAGCAGACTTATTCTTAGTTTAAAACCCTGGTGTGTGTGTGTGTGTGTGTGTGTAGATGAGGCAAGAAGTGAACTATAGATGCTTTGCTTGTGAGCTGCCTGACATGGGTGCTGGGAACTGAACTCTGGTTCTGTGCAGCAGGAGTAAGTGCTCTTAACCTATAGTTCCCTAGTTCAGCTAGGCCGGCTGGGATAACAAGTAGATGCTCCCTCCCATCCCTAGGTTTCAGGGTTTGTTATTTTGAGACAGAGTCTTGCTATGCAGTGGCTGTCCTGGAACTCACTATTTAGACCAGGCTAGTCTCAAACTCATAGGGACCCACTTGCCTCTTCCTTCGAGCCC